CAGGGTTTCTCTGTATTGCTTTGGAGGTTGTCCTGGTACTCACTCTGTAGACCAGGCTAGCCTTGAATTCACATAGTTCCATCTGCCTCTGCCTTCCTAGTACTGGGATTGCTGCTGGGCTCTTTGTTTTTTTTTGAGGCAGGATTTCTCTGTATACTGCTGGTTGTCCTGGTACTTACTCTGTAGGTCAAGCTGGCCTCAAATTCAGGAGGTCTTCTGCCTGCCCATGCCTCCTGAGTTCTAATATTAAAGGTGTGAGTCACCACTGTCTGGCAGGGTGTTTTCTTAATTAGTGATTGACAGAGGAGTGCCCAGCCCATTGTGGGTGGTGCCATCCCTGGGCTGGTGGTCCTGGGTTCTGTAAGAAAGCAGGCCAGGGGCTGGAGAGATGGCTTAGTAGTTAAGAGCACTGACTACTCTTCCAGAGGATCCAGTTCAATTTCCAGCACTCACACGGAAGCTAACAACTGCTTGTGACTCTAAGATCTGACACCCTCACACAGACATACAGGCAGGCAAAACACCAATGCTCATTAAAAAAAAAAAAAAAAAAAAAAAAAAAAAAAAAAAAAGGGGGGAGAGGGTGGCACACAAATTTGTTCCTCAAGAGAAACCTACAAGTGCAAATTTAATCCTATGGTGTGTGTGTGTAAATGTGTGAGCATATAAAAAAAGGGCTAAACAGAGAACCCCTACCTCAAAAAAAAAAAAAAAAAAAAGAAAGAAAGAAAGAAAGAAAGAAAGAAAGAAAGGGAGGGAGCTGGAGAGATGGCTCAGTGGTTAAGAGCACTGGCTGCTCTTCCAGAGGACCTGGGTTCAATTCCATGTGACAGCTCATAACTAACTCCAGTTCCAAGGGAATCTGACACCTTCACACCAAGGCACATAAAAAAAAAAAAAAAAAAAAAAAAAAAAAAAAAAAGCAGGCTGAGCAAGCAGCACCCCTCCAAGCCTCTAAATCAGTTCCTGCCTCCAGGTTCCTACCCTGCTAAGTTCTCACCTGACTTCCTTTGATGATGAACTGTGATGTAGAAGAGTAAGCCAAAACCCCTTTCTTCTCCAAGTCACTTTCGGTCAGGGTGTTTCATCACAGAGTAACAACCCTAAGACAGCAGACATCTAAGTAAGTGTACTGCACGTATGCCTGATGCTTATGGAGGCCAGAAGAGGGTGCCAAATTCCCTGGACCTAGAGTTATGGATGATCTGGAAGAGCAGCAAGTGCTCTTAACCACAGAGCCATTGTTCCAGCCCCAAAGACGAGCACAACAGGGATGGCAAAATGGCTCACAGGGTACCACCAAACCTAACAAGCTGAGTTCAGTTCCTGGGACCTACACAGTAGGAGAGAACCAACTTCTATAGGTAGTCTTCTGACCTCCACAAATGTGGGGGTGGCATGCTTATGTCCACACACAAACATACAATTAAGTGTCATTTTAAAAATAAAACAGGCAGCCAGGCGGTGGTGGCGCACACCTTTAATCCCAGCACTAGGGAGGCGGTAGCAGGCGGATCTCTGTGAGTTCGAGACCAGCCTGGTGTACAAGAGCTAGTTCCAGGACAGCCTCCAAAGCCACAGAGAAACCCTGCCTTGAAACCGCCCCCCCCCCAGAATGAATGAATGAATGAATAAACAAACAAACAAACAAACAAACAAATAAATACATCAGGCTAGGGAGATGGCTCAGCAGTTAAGAACACTTACTCTTGCAGAGGACCTGAGTTTGGTCCAGCACTCACATACTGCTCATAACCATCTATAACTTCAGTGTCAGGGTATCTGATGTTCTCTTCTGACCCCCATGGGCACCAAGCACACACATGGTACACATACATACATTTGTAAAAATACACACATAAAATATATAATGTATCGCTTCATTAAAATAAGACTCAGGACAATGTGGGTGGGGAAGAAGAGAGCTGCAACAGAGCTTCCTGGAGCTAGAAAAATAAAAACCCTGCCAACAAGCTCACAGGTATGTGAGGACCAGAAGCCTGGAAACACACAAGTAGCTCCCAGGTCAGTGTTCTATGCAGTTAACACTGAGCCCACAATACCATTCACAAATGGGGAAACTGAGGTTCTAGCCGGTTGTAGCAGTTACCTGAGGTCACAGCAACAGAAAGGCCAGTCCTGGAACTCAAGCTGCTTGACCCAAACCCTGAACTCCTGGCTCCAATGACAGTGACAAAGGCCCATGCAGGTGTTGGTTGTTGGGAGCACCAGGAGTGGTGAATCAAGCACTTGGGAGGCAGAGGCAGATCAGCACAAGCTGGAGAACAGCTGGGTCTGTGAGAGTTCCAAGCCAGCCATGACTATATAATCAGACATAGAAAAAAACAAAAACCAACACACACACCACAAACAGACCAGTGGCCTCATGATATGGTTAGACACCTGCTAGGAGGTGACAGGAATGGAGTGTTCAGAAGACAGGCAGGGAGACTGACTGCCAGGGGCTGGCCTCCACCCTGGACACCATGCAGAGCCATGAGCATTTGGACCTGTCAGACCTGGCCAGAAGAATGCTTGAAGAAAACAGGTGAGACTTTCCTTTATGTAACATGAATGGCTTTTGATTTTATATGTATGTACAAATATGCAAGCACCTGTGTGTATGTGGAGGCTGGGGGCCAACGTCAGGTGTCATTCATTCCTCGGGGAACTGTTCACCTCTTTTTAAAGACAGGGTCTCATTATTTAGATTTCACAAGTGATCCACTTGCTTCTGTCTCCCAAGTACAGGTGAGCTTTTTAATATGGGCTCTGGGGAAAGACCTAGAGTCACACAACAACAAAGAGGAGACAGAAAAGTCACAGCACTGAACATCCACCAGCAGGAAACTGGTTAGATAAATCATGTGGGAGAAACAGAGGCTGACGCAGCTTTTGCTTTTGATAAGGAGAGATTTCCATGTTAACTGGGGAAAAAAAAGTATAGGTTGATCTGTATACTGCTTCTGTCTGTGTGAGAAGATCCAAAGGATATACACACTGTTTCAGATGCAAAAAATAGCTCAGAACACAGAACAAACTAACAGATCCCTCTGGTGAGAATGAGTAGCTGGGGAAAGAGGTTGGAAGGGGCCTTCATATCTACTCAACACTATTCTGCTGGGGGAGACAGCTCAGCAGGTAAAGGCCCTGGTTACCAACCTGCTGACCCAGGACCTGCTTGGTGGAAGAGGAGAGCCCACTCCAAAAGGTTGTCTTCTGACTTCACAAGTGCCCAGATGTGACTCTAACCACTCCCCACACATAAATAAAAGAAAACAACAGTGACAACAAAACCTTTATGAGCTGGGGATATAACTGTGTTGGTAAAGTGCTTGCATAACATTCAAGAAGCCCTGGGTTTGATCCCTCATAAAGATTTGGCTTGAGGTACACATCTGTAACCCCCAGTCTAGGCTACACAGTGAGTACCAAGCCATCCAGAAATGTATTAACTATATCCTATCTCAACAAGCTAGCGTTCTCTTTTTGGTAAAAGCCCTAATCAAGAGATTAGATGTGATCCAAAGCTGGAATTTTTAAGGGATATTCAAGATACAGGTTAAAAACTTATTTTTATTATCTTTAATTATGTGTGCACGCATGCTAGTGCAGGTACCCATGCAACCCAGAGGCATTAACTTCCCTGGAGCTGGACTTACAGAGGGTTATAAGCCACCATGAGGGCACTGGGAGCCAAACCCAGGTCCTCTGCTTAAGCAGCCAGTACTCTTAACTGCTAAGGCATTTCTCTTGCCCTTGCTTTATTTACTTATTTACTTACTTATTTACTTATCTACTTATTTTTAGAAAATCTATAGATCAAGTTCCAGGACAGCCAGGGCCACCCAGAGAAACCCTGTCTTAAGAAAACAAAACAAAACAACAATAACTTACTATGTGTACATGCGAGTGTAATGGTGTCTATGGGCTAGGCAACAACTGTGGGAATCCATTTTCTTATTCTACCATGTGGGTCCTAGGGATTGAACTCAGGTTAGGCATTGTTTTTTGAGACAAGGGATCATGTAGCCCAGGCTGACCACGATGCCAGGTTTTATGAAGTATTAGAGAATAGATCCAGGCTTGGTGCAAGTTAGGCAAATACTTTACCAACTGAGCTATACTATACCCACTCCCCCCTTTTAAATAAGATTTATTTCTGTGTATGGAGAGAGAGTGTGTGTACATGTGGTTGTGTGCACATGTGTCTACCCTTGGAGGTCAGAAGAAGGTGTGAGGTGCTGGAGTTACAAGCCTCCAGTCCTGGGTGCTGAGAACAGAACAACTTGTGTCTTCTCAAAGAGCAGGAAGCACTCTTAACCACAGGGCCATCAATCTACCCCCACGGCTGGCTCAGCCTGAGACAGGATCTCACTTTGTTGCCCTGGCTGACCTCTAACTTTTGGTGATCTTCCTGTCCTGCCGCCTCAGTGCTGGGGTTACAGGTATATACCACTGTATTGTCTTGGAAGACTCCTAAACCTGTAGAGAAAGACATTTAGTAGATTCAGATCTTTTCTTTAGAAACTGTTTTTCTTTTAATTGACCATTTAACCAAAAGGTGGTTGGGTATCTGGAATCAAAACAATCTAAGACGGCCTCAAAGGGCCTGCCTTCTTATAACGCAAAACACAAAAGGGTAAAACCAGAAGCTGACAGGGTCTTCCTCAGTTCTCCCCAGAGAAGAATAAGCGCAGACATTCATACAGATGACTCAGCAAACACTGGATGCCCATGGACGCCACCCCCAAATGAAGTGTGAAATAGACAGGCCATCTCCATACCGCCTGCCTCTTCCTCAACCACAAACAAGCACTCAACCATCTGGCTGAAGGAACCATTTGTTTACTGCTTAATGGGAGGTGACACTGCCCCCCAAAAGAAAGAAAACAACCTTAGATGTAATAGCTGTTCCCAGGAGACTGGAGGCGGAAGCTCCATGAGGAGCTTACAGAGGAATCGTGCAGGACTCAAGTACTGGGCCCTGTTTTTTTTTTTTTTTCCCCCCCAGAAACTCTGCACCCGGGCTTCCAAGGTGAGGTGGTGGGGTCCCTGAAGCAGCCCTGAGGGAAGAGGCAGGAACAAGGGAACAAGAAACAGGATCAGCTGAGGCACTCCATGCTTGCTCTGACTCGCTCCATCTCATGTAGGAAACTGTAGAACTGAGGCAACGTTAATTCTGGGGAGAGAAAATTCAGTTTGAGGTGTTTCCAATGCCACAGAATCATCCAGAAAAATCCATTCTGCTTGCAAAAAACAACTGTATTTATGTGACAGGGAGCAGAGCCAGGGCCTTGTGTACACAGTGCTCCACCCCAGGCTGACATCTATTTTCTTTGCTACATCTCAGCAGTTCTTGTTGTGGCGCTGGGACTCAAACCCCAGCCTATAGCATGCTAGGCAAGGGCTCCACTGAGCCACATGCAGCTAAGCGGTTCCTGCTGTATAAACCATCAGAATAAGGAAACTCGAGTGTGTATACAAGTGGCGTCATGCGGAAGCATGGAGGGTTTACAGTGGACATACTTTTGGGTGTTCGGGGGAAGTCCACAAGAGTCTCTTGCCCCCAGTCTGCTTCCATTCTAGCCACCCCACCCCATCCTTTTGTCTTCTACTCAGGGTTTCTAGTCTCCCAACAGCTTAGTAATAGCCCTGGCACTAAGCTTCATGACAGGGAAGGAGTGGATGGATGCTCTAGAGCTTGGTGATAACCTTGTCTTAGACAGATGGGCTGTGTCAGGCTGCCTAGGTGACTGAAGAAAGAGGTGGAAAACTTCAAAACGGGGTTACAGACTCACCTATATACACATTTTCCATTTGTTTTCCTTTCTTAACCACCAACTTTAACTAAAAGGAAAAGGGGGGGAGAAAGTGAAGAAAATAAATAAGTTGGTGGCACACACCTTTCATCCCAGCACTTGAGAGGCAGAAGCAGGCGGATCTCAGTGAGTTCGAGGCCAGCCTGGTCTACAGAGCAAATTCCAGGACAGCCAGACTGTTACACAGAGAAACCCTGTCTCAAAAAAAACAAAGCAAAACAAACAGACAAACAATTTTGAGACAGGGCCTCCTCATGAAGCTCAAAATGGCCTTGAACTTCCTCCTCCTCCTCCTCTTCTTCTTCTAATTATTTATTTTTATTTTATGTGCATTGGTGTTTGCCTGCATGTGTGTCTGTGTGAGGATGCCAGATATCCTGGAACTGGAGTTACAGACAGTTGTGAGCCGCCATTCGGGTGCTGAAGATTGAACCTCTGGAAGAGCAGTCAGTGCTCTTAACTGCTGAGCCATCTTTCCAGCCCCCTGGCCTTGAATTTTGATGTTCAAACCTCCTGAGAGTGGGGATTACAGGTCTGTGCCACCATACCCAGCTTTTAATAACTTTTAACCAGGCTGAATCTTTCCTATTGCCACTTATCACAGACTTACCTGTAAAAATATGCTTCCCACTTTCTCTAATTCACTGCTTCCAGATGTCACTGTAACACAAAGAAAAGAACACTAAGTGACTGACTGAGGACTTCTAAAGAGCTCAATATAGCAGACTATCTGGAGCAGCCATGTTGGGATGAACACGAGCCAGCAAGAAGGGACCAGGGATGGAGGTGTCTAAAGGCAGTCAGCTGGCTGGCCCCCAATGGTATCTAAGATCAAGACCAGGCCTTCTCTACCCAGGATCTCCAAAAGTGTCTACGGTCCAAGCCCAGAACAGCCCAATACTTGCCCAGGAATGGATCCATCTAGTTACCTCCAAATCGCCACTCCATATCAACCAGCTGGTTAATCATCAGGGTCTGACCTATGGCCCACTGTGCAAGGGTTGGGGCATTCTGCTTCCACTAGAAGAAAAGCAAAGGTCAATGTCAGCAGAGTGGGGACCATCAGTTCCTATCCCTCTGCTCCAAGCACAGCAGAGTGCTCAGAGCTCAACAGACAGAAGAAAGCAGAACCTATGCATGCACACATCCAAACATGGCAGCAATAAGCCTTCTGACAGGGCAGCATGATGACTATGAGTTTGCCATGTAGCTGAGGCTGGCCTTGAGCCCCACTCCCAGGGCTGGGATTATAGGCATGGACCACTATACCCAGTTTAAATTTTTCATCCCAAGATTTAATCCAGTTGGAACAACAATGGCATTAATGTTTGGTCAAGCCAAAGGAGAAATCAGAGGGCTGCCCTAAGCAGAGCTGGTGGACAGAGTGAATTAGAGTGAATTAGAGCTGGTGGCAGAGCTGCAAGTGTGTCATTCCTGTGAAGCTGACTGGAGGAGGAATGGGATGGTTTTGTCTTGCTCAGCAATTTTCCCCCTTTCCTTTTCTTTTCAGGAAATAAAAGCCAGGATCTTATCCTTGATTAACAGAATTATACCTTTTCAGAAAAGTAAGTGGCTTTCTCCTCACTAAGACCTGTAAGAGAACAGAAGGATAATTAACATAACAAAGAGCTCAGAGGCCCTCCACTCCCCAGGCAACCTCAGGCAACCTACCTAGAGTCAGGAGATCAGCCCGCACCTGCTCGGCAGTGAGGCCCTTCTTCAGTGCACCTTGCAGGAGGGGAGAAACCATAAAGTGTAAACGAGTGCATGGGTCAGTAAGAAGTATTTGTTGGACCAACCAATATACATGTGACATATAAGACAAAAGCAATATGCTTCAGGAAGGTCTCCAGGGACTAGGGAGAAAATGCAGCCCTGAAACCACTATGGGGCAAGGCGCACAATCTGTTCACTGCACAGTGGGGTCAGTCACCCTCAGGGATGCTGGGCTGAGCTAGAGACAACAGAAAAGACTGGGCTTGGGACAGGCCAGTGGAGGAAGACTGAGCAAGGCTACAGTCCTGGAGCTCCACAGCAGCCTGGCACAAAAGTATAGTTAAAATTGGAGTGCAACCAGACATGGTGGTCCATGCCTTTGATCCCAGCACTCGGAAGGCAGAAGCAGGCAGATCTCTGAGTTCAAGGCCAGCCAGCCTGGTCTACAGGACAGCCCCGGTCCAGCACAGTCAAGGAGCACACAGAGAAACCGTCTCAAACAAACAAAACAAAGCAAAAGCTGAGTGGGGTTAGGAGATGCAGCTCAGTTGGTTTCCCTGGAGCTGTGGGTGCTGGGATGAACTTGGGTCCTCTGGAAGAGTAGCAAGGACACTCTTAACTGCTGACAATCCTTCTGCCTCAGCTTCCCCAATGTTGGGATTAAAGGAGGTGACCATCATGCTAGTGTTCCTGTATCCATGCATGTTGATCCAAGGCATTTTTCTATCACTGGGCATTGGCTTTCATAGTTCCCTCTTCTAGAACAGTCTTCCCTAATCTGTATGGGGCTCATCCCCAACTGCATTCAGACTTCTTTGCATCTCAAACCTTTGGAAAGGACCCCTGACAGTGCCACTTAAAATTGCCTTGTGGGGGTTGGAGAGGGCTCTTTCAGAGGATCTGAGTTCAGCTGAAAGAACCCATGTGGGGTGACCCACTCTGGCTCCAGTTGGATCCAATGCCTTTGGCCTGTGAGGGCATCTGCACTCGTGTGCATATCACCCTCCCCACCCGCCAGACATACATGCATAGACATAACTAAAAGAAAACAAAAGGCATTGTGGATGGACAGTATAACTCAGTGGTAGATGGCTTGTCTAGCAAGGTCCTCAAAATAAATAAATAAAGCACATATAAAACAGACAAATGAACTAAACAACACAATAACAAGAAAAATGAAAGCTTTTTGTTTTGTTTTTTGGAGACAGTCTTCCATAGCCCAGGATGGCTGCACACTTGCTGTGTAGATGAGGATGTCCTTGATCTTCTGTCCCTACCTCCTGAGTGCTGGGACAATAGGCATGGTTTTTTGTTTTTTGTTTTTTTTTTATGTAAAGGTGGTAGAATCATGGATTGTGATCCCTATTTCATCATCATCATCATCATCATCATCATCATCATCATCATCATCATCGACAGGTTCTCACTATATAGCCCTGGCTAGCTTAGAACTTAGTACTAGACCAGGCTGGCCTCAAACTCACAGATCCAGCAGCCTCTGCCTCCTGAGTGCTGGGATTAAAGGTGTGCACCAACCATCACTGCCCAGCTTCCTCCCTTCTTTTTTTCTCTTTCTCTCTTGTACATGTTTTTTGAGAGTCTTATATAGCCTAGGCTAGCCTCAAACCTGCTATGTAGATTGGAATGACCCTAAACTGATCCTTCTGCATCCACCTCTCATATGGTGGGATTAACGGTATCAGCATCATTCTTGTATTTTTTTTTCTATTATAAACACAAATGCTACTTTGTATTGTTTAGGACCAAACATAATATTGAAGTTGCTTATAGACCAGAGGATCCCCATGAGCTGGCAGTTCTTCGTGCTTTAGGCCATCCTGATGGGCTGCCTTGTTGAGTAGCACCAGGCGATACCCTATCAGGGACAGACACAGCAGGCTAAGCTGTAGGGACCAAAGAGCAGGCTCTCCACTCTACAGTGACCTGTAGGCAGGAGAGGTGGCTTCCTAAGGCCTCCAGGGCTTCCTTTGCAACTATTTCCTTTGGTCATATCTAAACCAATGCCAGCCTGGTAGTCAGGGGACAAGCCTGTGGTGGTCCTCTGTATGAGGTGGAAACACTTGGCAGGGAGAGTAGGTGGGAGAGGGTAGGAAGCAATCATAGGCTGGAACCACTCACCCTGGAGGCTGGTCAGCTGAATCCACCCTGTTGAGACCCAGGGGACAGCAAGGTGACAGTCACTATACACTGACAGAATACCTGCTGTGAGCCAGCACCATGGTAAGACACTGGGAAACATTAGTAAGCCTCAAAGACAATACTGCCTACCCTAGTGAGGCCTGTATTCTCCTGAGAGACAGATCATGCAAGTAATATAAGAAGCATGGAGACCGCACAAAGTACAGAGAGGTCAATGTGTCAGAGAAAAAGCAGGAAAAGTTGGCAGTCCTGGGACCAAAGGCCAGCACGTGCATGTACATGCACTGGTACATGTACACACACACACACACACACACACACACACACACACACACACACACACACACGAGAGAGAGAGAGAGAGAGAGAGAGAGAGAGAGAGAGAGAGAGAGAGAGAGAGACAGACAGACAGACAGACAGACAGAGACAGAGACAGAGAGCAAGCATGTGTGACCACTGTATGGTAGGAATCATTCTTTCATTTTACCTGACTACAGACAAAACATGCTAGGGATAGGAATGGGAAATTACCTTTTAATAAAAAGTACAAGTCAGTACCAGATCACCCCCAAGGACAGACAGCTTGCTAGGGATAAGCAGCGGTTTAAGTAAGTTCCTGGACAAGTCCACACAGATGAGAACCTAGAAGGGCAGCTACCACTCAACTTTAGTCTATTATCTTTTCCCACCCACTTTGTTTTGTTTCCTCTGGCGCTGGAGACTAAACCCCAGGGCCTTGTGCACTCTAGGCAGGTGCTCTGCCACTGAGCTGTTTATCATCTGCTCATCTTTCTCCACCCTTTCAACAGGAAGGAGCCCCCTCAGTTCTATTTCATCCCTGAAGGTGATTATCAGAGGTGAAGAACCTGTACCAAGGTCTCCACAGTGAGCAAGCAAGGAGTGCAGAAGGCCCCACCCACCACCCAGTAACCAAACAAATGCAGGCTAGGGACCTATCTGGACCCTGCTGAGTAGGAGAACAATGGCCATAAGGGAAGACAATTCGGCAGACAATGAGGAACCACAAACACTGGCTGCAAGATTTCCTTTTGGATAGGATAGTGGCCTGTGCTTATCTTTCACAGATAGATAACTAGGCATCCCGGAATGAAATCCTTGTGTGCTACTGGCTTTAAACAAACCCAGTCTGGAGAGCAGTAAGAAGTGAGGGGCAGGTAAAAGAACTCAGGGAAGGGTTGACAGTTGTTCCAGTGGGATGTTTTAAGAACCACATAAAAGGCTAGGCATGGTGGTGTATACCTTTAATGGAGCATTCTCAATGCTGCGGCAGGCAGGTCTCTAAGTTCCCTACCAGCCTGGTCTGGTATCTCAAAACCCCCAAAAACCAACCAACCAACCAACCAACCAACCAACCAACCAAAACAAAACAAACAAACAAACAAAACAAAACAAAACTCATACACTGATGTGGTGTAATTCCAGTACTCAGGTAGCTGAGGCAGGAGACTTGTGAGTTAGATGACAGTCTGTATTACAGATTGAAACCCTGTCTCAAAAGAAAGAAACTGGACTCAGAAGGAAGAGGCAAGTGGATCTCTTTGAGTTCGAGTGTAGCCTGCTCTACAGTGAGGTCCAGAACAGCCAGGGCCACACAGTGAGGCCTTGTCTCAAAAACAACCAAAAAGCAAAGAAGTAATCACTTCTCCACAGCTTTCCCCTGACATTCTCTCTACCCCACCGCTTTGGTTCAATGGTTAACTATTTCACAGATACTGGTTAAGCCTGTTTCTTTACTGCAGGATTTGTGTGTGATTCTGGCTGGCACTGGTGGTGCAGGAAGACCTTCTGGCTGTAGGAAGTGGCCCAGTGGGCCACATTACAACAAGTTTAATGGCAGAAGGATGCGTGCGGACTGCTGGTTTTGTTTTCCTTTGTTTTGAAATAGAGAGTAATGCTAGGTAGCACAGGCTGGCTTCAAACTTGTGATCTTCCTGCCTCAGCCACAGATGTGTTGGAATTACAGGCATGAGGCACACCAGCAGTCCTTATATTTTTATTCTTAATCTACCATAAAAATATCTTAGACTGAGCCGGGCGTTGGTGGCACACACCTTTAATCCCAGCACTTGGGAGGCAGAGGCAGGTGGCTCTCTGAGAGTTCGAGGCCAGCCTGGTGTACAAAGCTACACAGAGAAACCCTGTCTCGAAAAAAACAAAAAACAAAACAAAATACAAAACCAAACAACAAAAAGCCTTGAGACATGTATAAGCCCTGCTCATATTTTGTGATCACAGAACTCAGAGGTTGAGATAGGAAGATTGTTGGCAGTTCAAAGCCACCCTGGGCTACAGAGTGAGACACTGTCTCGAAAACAAACAAAAACCCCAAATAGCTTAGCAATAAAATGCTGTATAAGTGTAGGGACTTGAGTTGGACCCCTAGAACCCCCTTAATAAAGCTTGGAACAGCAATGCTCACTTGGGGCCTGGCAAGCCAAACTAGCCTAATAGTTCCAGGCCAGTGATAAAAACCCTTCTGAAAAACAGGGTAGTTGGCTCTGACCTCCTCACACAGGCGCATACCTGCACAAATATAAACATGCAAAAACAATGGTAAACAAACAAAAAGGAAAAAGGAAAGAAAAAAAACTGCATTAAAAAAATCTACTACCCTGGGTGGTGGTGGCATAAACCTTTTTAATCCCTGCACTTGGGAGGCAGAGTTGGGAGGATCTCTGTGAATTTAAGGCCAGCTTGGTCTATGGAGTGAGTTCCAGGACAGCCAAGGTTACATAGAGAAACCCTGTCCCGAAAAAACAAAATCTATTACACTGCTGCACATGGTGGTGTAAATCTTTAGTCTCAGCACTCAGGAGTCAGAGGCTGGTGCATCTCTGTGAGTTCAAGGCTGTTTTGATTTACATAGTGTGCTCCAGGACAGACAAGGCTACACAGAGAGAGACACGGTCTCAAAATAAGCAAACAAACAAACAAAAATCATTATGGACTGGGGGTTGGGGGTTGGGAAATGGAGGAGGAGGCCCTGGAATCCAGTCCCAGCATAATACCATAAGAAGAAAACAGCCAGTGTGTGGTAAGGCATGCATTTGATCCCAGAGACAGAGGCAGGAGGACCTCTGTAAGTTGGAGACCATCCTCTCTACATAGCAAGTTTCAAGACTGTCAGGGCTACATAGTGAGACCCTGTCAAGAGGGGGGACAGGAAGTGGGGGGGAGACAGAGAGAGAGAGAGAGAGAGAGATTGATTCAAGCAACACTTGTGAACCCGACCCTTTAATTTCTGGACTTAGGGAATGGAGGACTGAACCCAGGATGCCCAGGTGCAGCTTGCTGACATAGCAGAGGTGCCACGCAGATCAAAGCTGGGTCTGCATCCTGGGTTCAGTCCCTCAAATAAAATGATACAGCATTGGTGTATAGTCTATGTATACATACTGCATACTTTTAACTACTTTTCAGTTCCTTATACCCCCTAACATATGGTAAATACATGTAAATGCTAGTTATACCACAAAGTATGTCTGTCCATAAACATTTTTAAAAATGTTTAAGGTGGGCTGGAGAAATGGCCCAGCAGTAAGAGCACTGGCTGTTCTTCCAGAGGACCTGGGTTCAATTCCTAGCACCCACATGGCAGCTCACAATTGCTTGTAATTCCGTTTCCATGGGATCTGACATCTTTACACCAATACACATAAAATAAAGTTAAATAAATTATTTTTTTTAAATGTTTAAGGCATATGCTGTCTCTTCTGACTTTAAAAATGCTTTTGATCCCTGGATGGTTGGTTGAGTCCACACAGACAACTGAACATATGAAGAGCTGTGACATTTACCTCCTCAACCAGACTCTGCTCTTGGAATGCACGCCCTGCCATGTCTGGCTATTTACTGGATGCTGCTTGGATGACTCCCTAACTAAAGGAAGGCTCAGGTAGCAGGAGCTGCTAACAGTCAACTCACCATTCGGAACCAGGAGGAGGCTTTTCATGATGCTTTTGAGGGGGCCAAGACTGATCTGATTGGTGGTGGCAAATTCAGAGAGCTGAGCCAGAAAGTGCTCCACCTGCAGAGGAGACAACACAAACACGCCTTTAGTTACCTTTTAAAAAGATGCTTTTTTATGTGCTTGAGTATTCGCCTGCACATGTTTCATGGGATCCAAGAAACAAGAATTACAATGGTTGTGAGCTGCCACATGGGTTCTGGGAACTGAACCCAGATCCTTTGTAAAAGCAGCCAGTACCCAGACCTTCTTCTCTAAGTTCTCAGGCCTTTAGATCCATGTTGGCAAAACCTCCTTAGCAAAAAATCCCTTACTCACCTCTTTGGGCTCTGTTAGGAAATGGAAAAGCACTTCTGTCAGGGCTGAGAACTGCTGCAAAAGGGGACAACACAGAGCATCAGCACCATTTCTGCGCCCTGCTGCCCATCACCCAGGTGCCCACCACATCCAGTGCCCTCCTCCAACTAGTGGGCCATACCCCATCCAACAGTGGGCTTTTGGGAGAGGAGATCGGAATCAGTGAAGCTCCACGATCCATATCAACTTCTATTTTATTAATTCTTAGAGTGTTTTTTTTTTTTTGGTTTCTCAGGACAGGGTTTTTCTGTGTAGCCTTGGCTGCCCTGGAGCTTGCTCTGTAGACCAGGCTGGCCTCAAATTCACAGAGATCTGCCTGCCTCTGCCTTCCCAGTGCTGGAACTAAAGGCGTGCACCACCACCGCCCAGCCTCCTTGAGAATTTTATACAGTGTGCTTTTGATCATGTTCACTCCTTTCCTCTTTCTCTCTTTCTTCCTTCCTTCCTTCCTTCCTTCCTTTCTTTCTTTCTTTATTTCTTTCTTTCTTTCTTTCTTCTCTCTCTCTCTCCTTCCTTCCTTCCTTCTTTCTTTCTTGGGGGCAAATGGGGGACAGTCAGAGGACAACTTTTATATTGTGGTTCTCTCTTTGAGAGAGAATTTAATTTGTTGAGGCAGGGTCTCTCTTTTTTATTTTTGAGACAGGGTATCACTGTATATTCCTGACTAGCTTGATACGTAGACCAAGTTGGCCTTGAACTCACAGAGACTTGCCTACCTCTGCCTCCTGAGTGTCAGGATTAAAGGCCAAATGTTTAAAAGTAGTGTATGTGGGAGGGACCCAGAAAATATAGGGAAGCAAAACAGATGAAAAGAGAAATTCTTTGATGTCTTCACCTAAGATACTATTGTTGGTGGTTTGGTTCTGAGTTCTGTTATTGCTTTGAGAGAAGGTGTCACTGTGTAGTACTGGTTTGTTCACCAAGGCCAGCCTGGATCTACATAGTGAGTTCCTATGAGTTCCAGCCAGAGCTCCACAGTGAGACCCTGTCTGAAAATAAACAAAAATAATAATAATAAAATAAATAAAGTTACATAGCAGGGTGTTGGTGGTATTCACCTTTAATCCCAGGCACTTGGGAGGCAGAGGCAGGTGAATCTCTGAGCTCCAGGCCAGCCTGGTCTACAAAGTGAGTTCCAGGAGAGCCAGGGATACACAGAAACCCTGTTTCAAAAACAAACAAACAAAAAATAAAAATCAAAACAAATAAAAACATAAAGGTGTGAGCCACAATGACCACCTTTGAGGCAGGCAGGGTCTGTCTCTCCTTTCTTCTGCTGAGACTGTACATTCCTGGGGTGGGAGTGGGGGTCACATGCCTATGTTTTGCAACCCTGATAAGAAACACACACTTTCTTAGCATTTCTTGATGTAGCCTTTTGTCTTCTCAGCATCTTAACTCTTGTTAAATGCACAGGAAGTATTTGTTGTGTAAGTCTTCTCCCACTGCCGCCTTGCTCAGGATTGCTCATTAGCCATCTCTACTTATCAAAATCTCAACTCTTATCAAAAGTAAACATCAGAAGAGATGCTTAATGTTAGGGAAACGTTAGCCAGTGAAAGGAGTTACTCCTTCATTTACCAAATCTGCAAAGTCTGGGGACACAAGCTGTATACTGATGGCTCTGGAGATTATTGGACAACCTTCCTAGAGGACAATGTTATACCATATATCCAATTTTAATGACAACCACAGCCCCAGAACCATGAATTCCCCTGAAAAAGAGTATGTGGTTCATATCTGTTCCATCCACGCTTACATAGAGCTTTCTCCCTGGAAAGTATTGTTTATATGAACAAATAATAGAAACTCAGACAGGCAAGGTAGTGGACTCCTGCAATGGCACACAGGACTTGGGGAGGCAGGAGGGAGGATCACTAGTAAGCTCTGGACCAGCTAGACTACAGAGTGAGACCTTGCTCAAGAAACAAACAAACGAGCCATAAATTCTGTAACCCTAACACTCAGGAGGCTGAGGCGGGAGGATGATGAATCTGAGGTTAGTATAGCTACAAAGTTGATTGTTTGAATTTTAAAAAACAAAAACACAATGCCAGCCAGTAGTGGCCCATGCCTTTAACCAGACTGGTCCACAGATCCAGTTCCGGGACAGCCAGGACTGTTACACAGAGAAACTCTGTCTCGAAAAACAAAGAAAAACAACGAAATAGTTTTCTTAAAAGAGTTGTTTGTTTGTTTTTAAAGAGCTGGACCTGTTGGCACAGGTATGTAATCTTAGCTACTCAGGAGGCAGAGGAAGGAGGATTCTAAATTCAAGGCCAGGTTGGGCAATTTACTGAGAATCGGACTCAAACAAACAAGGCCAGACATAGTGGTACATCCTAGAGTCCTAGCCCTAGAAGGCAGAGGAAAGAGGATTGCTTTGAGTTCCAGGCCAGTCAGGTTTACAAATACCTTGTCTAAAAATAAAAGAAAAATACATCAAACCACCACACAAACTAAGTGCTGATTAGTAGATACTTGAGCATGGTGTCATACATCTCTAATCCCAACACTTGGGGAAACTAAGGCAGGAAGAGCTTGAATTTGAGGACAGTCAGGGGACAGAAAATCCCTGTCTCAAGGTGAGAAGAAAAAAAAAAGAAAGAAAGAATGTTGGGGCTGATAGCCTGAGTTCAATCCCTGGTTGTCAACTCCCACAGGTTGTTTTACATTTTTGTTTGTTTGTTTTTGTTTTTTATTTTTCGAGACAGGGTTTCTCTGTAGTGCTTTGGAGCCTGTCCTGAAACTCACAGAGATCTGCCTGCCTCTGCCTCCCCAGTGCTGGGATTAAAGGCGTGTGCCACCAATGCCCGGCTTGTTCTACATTTTTAAAAAAATAACTTTTTTTTTTTTTTTTTTTTTTTTTTTTTTAGCAGTAGAATCTTTTTTCCCACCCTACAAATGGAAGTCTTCCAGAGAACAGTGTTAATAGCAAAAATTAGAGACCTCCCTTTGTAGTCAGACACCTGGTTCTAAATTCCTGGTTCCAGACTTGGAATTTTTCTGCCTCAGCTTCTCAAGTGGTGGCACGACAGAGGCATGTACTACCAATAGATTTTAATTTTGTTCTTTCTTTCTTTCTTTCTTTCTTTCTTTCTTTCTTTCGAGACAGGGTCTCACTAAGTAGCTCTAGTTGGCCTCATTATGTAGGAGAGACTGGTTTTGAATTTGCAGAGATGGACTTGCCTTGGCCTACAGAATGCTGGGATTAAAAGTGAGCACACTACTCTGCCCTGCATAGTTTGGTTTTTATTCCTCAAGGAGGGTGTGTGGGGAGTTGAGGGCCTCAGCACCTGGGAAGCAAAGACCCAATCAGGGAAACAACACGTAGTACATTTGGAGTGATGAAGATATATATATAATCTTTTTTTGACAGGCGGTCTCATGTAGTTCAGACTGGCCTTTAACAAATATTTAGTGAGAGCTGGATCTGAACTCCTGCTGTCACCTCCTAAGTGCTGGTACTGACAAGGACCACTGTAACCCGTTTATTCTGGCAGGAGCACAGGGTGGCCCCAGACGCCTTGGCAAGGCTTGGCTAATCCCTGCAGTCTGAGCAGGAGGTGGCATCCCGAGCTCTACGACGGGGACAGGCTTGCAGTATGCCTTTCCGGGACTGGAGAGGGGTGTGGCCACCGGTCCGGGCTGAGCCCCTTCCGGCTCAGGCCCAGAGCTCCTCTCAGGCCTGGCCCCACGGATACCCACGCCCGGCTTGCAGTCGACCTGCCTCCCTAATCCGTCCAACCCGGGGCCCCTCGGAATCGCCTCATTCCTATCTCTAGAAGCCTACAAATCTGTTCCTCAAGGGGTCCCCACCTCCGTTGTGAGCCGGCCCACTCCTGAGCCCTCCCATGCCCAGGCGAGGCCCACCTGCGCGCCCAGCTGGTTCAGTTGCTGCATGTCGCCGCGCACGGCCTCGGGCACGGGGTCCTGCGTGCAGTGCAGGCGACCCATGGCGCCAGGAGCCCGGCCGCCCAGCAAACGGCACTCGCTTCCTCCTCCCCGGCCTCGCTGCGCTTCCGCTGCCGCACTTTCGCCACACTCCCAGCCGCCGATCTCGGGACAGCGCACGCGCCGCCGCTGGGCTCCGGGAAGGGAAGCGCTCTGAGTATCGCACTGGGAGTCCAGGTCTACCTGGACGACCTTAGGTAAAGCGCTTGATCCTTCTGAGCCTCAGTTTCATTGTATAATGTTATCTAGGATGACTACTAGGGTTTTCATCCTCCCAAAACTTTGAGCTCAGAGCTTGGCGCACAACGTATTCCTCAGTCAGTGGCTGGTTGCTGCCCTTATCACCATTGATGTTAAGCATTGGGTGAATCTACCTATTAAACCATATCTACCATTTCTCTCTCCTCTATACATTTGGTGCTGAGGATTGGTCCTGGGTCTTGCATAGGCTTGGCAAGGACTTTGCCTCTGAGCTACACCAACAAACGCTAGCAATACTGCCTGTCTACCAGAGGCCAGACACTGGTAACCGAGGAGGGTATAAACCAGGCCATGAGAACTTATATCAGAGTTAAGTAGTAGATCTGAAACTTGGATAGGCATTAGTGTCATCTGGACAATTTGGCATAACTACCAGTTGCTGGGCCCCATCCCCCAGTCAAGCTTGGAGAGCAGCAGAGTAATGTACATTTCCCATGAATTCCCAGGAGATACGCTTTGGGGGCCTCTGATCCAGCTAAGGACTGTTAAAGACCCTGGGCAGTGTGATGGTGGTGGTGAGAGGGTGAAATAGTGAAACTTACTTCAGCTGTGATGGGGCTGGGGTCAAACAGCACTTGCCCAGCATGTTCATGTTCAGAACTCCATTCCTGGCAGGGTGAGAAGACCCAAGCCTGTATTCTCCTGGTCCTACAAGCTCTCCAGCCCCTGGGTGAGTGCTGATCTCATCCTCATTAGACTGGAGAAAATGGAGGTCTACTCCCTGGGTCCTAGGACCTGTCCCCCAACCTAAGCAAGGGCTGCATCTGGTACAGAGTCCAGCCGGGCGTTGGTGACGCACACCTTTAATCCCAGCATTCGGGAGGCAGAGGCAGGTGGATCGCTGTGAGTTCGAAGCCAGCCTGGTCTGGTCTCCAGAGAGAGTGCCAAAACCAAAAAAAAAAACCCTGACCCAAAAAAAAAAAACAAAAAAAAAAAAACAAAAAACAAAAAAAAAAAAAAAACAACAAAAAAAAAAACACACAAACAAAAAAAAAGACCAGCCTGGTCTACAGAGAGAGTTCCAGGACAGGCTCCAAAGCTATACAGAGGAACCTGTCTGGAAAAACCAAAAACATAACAAACAAAACATGGAACCAGGCATGGTGGCACACTCCTTTAATCCCAGTACTCAAAGAGGCAAAGGTAGGCAGATCATTGTAAATCTGAGGCTAGCCTGGTCTACACAGGGGATTCTAGGGTAGCCAAAATGACATAGAGACCTCAAAACAACAACAACCAAATTTATAAGCTTTTTTGTTTTGTTTTGTTTTGTTTTGTTTTGTTTTATGAGACAGGGTTTCTCTGTGTAACAGCCTTAGCTGTCCTGGAACTCACTTTGTAGACCAGGCTGGCCTCAAACTCACTGAGATTCTCCTACCTCTGCCTCCAGAGTGGTGGGATCAAAGGCTTGCACCACCACCACCCAGCTATGTCTCCACCTCTTAAATGCAGGGATTACAGGCCACTGGGCCGGGTTTATGAGGAGCCCTGTGTGGGTTTAAGGCCCCATTCTTGCTAGGGGAGCTCGCTACCTATGGAGCTCCACCCCAGCACCTAAGGATCAGAGTTTATGTGATACACTTTAAGTAACTGAATGCACAACATGTGTGAAGATAATAATCCACATTGTCATCTATTGGCTCCTCCTACTATTTTCTAACTTTTGTAATCCCAGGAACAGAGCATTGTTTCCATTTTAATGTTCATCACATTCTTGTCATTTTCACATTTAAAATTTTTTTCTTTTGTTTTTGAGACAGGATTATTGTCTGGTAAGATCGCTTGAGTGGGTAAAGATGCTGCTAAGCCTGAGGACCTGAGCTTGATTCTTAGGATATACAAGTGTAAGGATAGAACCAACTCCACAAGTTATACTCTGATCGTCACACACACAAATGAAAATAAATAAATGCGTGCTGGACAGTGGTGGCGCCTGCCTTTAATCCCAGCACTCGGGAGGCAGAGGCAAATGGATATCTGTGAGTTGGAAGCCAGCCTGATCTACAGAGTGAGTTCCAGGACAGGCTCCAAATCTACAGAGGAACCCTGTATTGAAAATAAACAAACAAATAAATAAATAAATAAATAAAAAGGAGGGGACGAGGACTGGAGAGATGGCTCAACAATTGAGAGCATCTGATCCAATTCCTAGCACCCACATGGCAACTCACAATTGTCTGTAACTCCAAGATTTGACACTCTCACATAAGCATACATGCAGGCAAAACATCAATGCACATAAAATAAAAATTTTAAAAAAGTAAAGAAAAAAAAGTAAGAACATCATAACTCACAGAAGTAACACAGTAAACTCTCTTTTCACTTCCTAAGCTTTTTTGTGGTTGGTTTTGGTCTGAAAATATTAAATGGAAATTTTCAGAAAAACACCAATTCATAAGCTTTCAATTGCACATCTTTCTGAGTAGTGACAATTTCTTTGACCAACCCACTTTATTTTACCCTTTGTTCAGTGCATCCACATTGTATATGCTACTGGTCCCTCAGTCAAAGATTTTCTCCCTTGTTTTTTGAGCTAAGTCTCAGTTTGTGGCCCTGAATGGCTTGGTGCTCATTACATAGACCAGGCTAACTTTGAATGTATTGCAATCCTCCTGTCTTTGCTTCCCAAGTGCTGGGATTACAGGAGTGTTGGACCACAACTGAACATAACCTTCTTGTTTGAAGAAAGATTATCCTGTGTTGTTGTGGCTACAGTCAAGATTTATATGGGCCCCAAAGCACATCAGTAGGGTAATTCTTGCAATATGGTTATGCCAGATGATAGCTATAAAGAGCCTCCTTGAAATAAAAGGTGAAAGTTCTTGATGTAATAAAGAAAGAAAACGATCTGGGCATAGTGACACATGCCTTTAATCCCAGCACTCAGGAGGTAGAAGCAAGCAGATTTCTGTGAGTTTGAGGCTAATCTTGTCTACAGAGTAAGTTCCAGGACAGCCAGAACTACATAGCAAAGCAAGACCCTTTCTTCGAAACAAAACAACAACCAAAAAGCGCACGCGCACGCGCATACACACACACACACACACACACACACTCTCTAAAAAAAAAAAAAAAAGAAAGAAAGAAAGAAAGAAAGGAAACCAAACAACATTGGCCAGATGTGGTGGCACTTTTCCTGTAATCTTAGCACAGGTTGAGGCTGGACGATGAATGGGACTTTAAGGCCAGCCTGCTTTTACAGAGGTCCTGAGTTCAATTCCCAGCCCCAAATGGTGGCTCACAACCAGAATACTGTATACATGCCAGAATACTGTATACATAATAAATAAATAAATCTTAAAAAAACAACAAACCAAATCAAAACATTTGTACTATCATTAACATCTATGGTGGGAACAAATGTTTTCTCTGTGAAACTGTAAGGGGAAAATTATTTGAGCTGGTAAACCAGACATCTGGTATGGTGTATCCTAGCACTTGAGAGCTACAGTCAGAAGGATCAGGTACTCAAGATCAGGAAGTACATGGCAAGAATAGCTGTATGTGACCCTGCCTCAATAAAGAAAAAGTAAAGAGCAGAGAACAAAGCTTGGCTGACAGAAAATTCCAGGCCAGCCAGGGTTACTCAGGGAGACCCTGTCTCAAAAGCAGACAAAGTTTGTTAAGCACTTGCCATACAAAGCCAGGACACCCAAGTTTGATTCCTGAGATGCATATGTCTGAAAGAAGTAACTCCTAAAAGTTGTCCTCTGACTCCACAAGCAAATTTGGCATGTGCACACATTTGGGCATACATGCACACACAAACACACATATACAACTTTAAAAAATGTAAAAGCCTCTCTGAGTTTGAGGCCAGCCTGGTCTACAGAGTGAGTTCCAGGACATCCAGGGATACACAGAAAAACCCTGTCTCAAAAAACAAACAAAAATTAAATGGTATCTTCTGATGGGCGATGGGGGCACATGCCTAGAAGCAGGTGGATATCTGTGAGTTTGAGGCCAGCCTGGCCTACAGAGCAAGTTCCAGGACAGCTAGGGCTATACAAAGAAACCCTGTCTGCTGTCTGCTGGTCTCCAGAGCGAATGCCAGGACAGGCTCCAAAGCTACACAGAGAAACCCTGTCTCAAAAACCAAAAGAAAAAAGAAGAAGAAGAAGAAGAAGAAGAAGAAGAAGAAGAAGAAGAAGAAGAAGAAGAAGAAGAAGAAGAAGAAGAAGAAGCAGCTATCTTCATATGTTCTGGCCTTTAGTCCCAGTACCTGGGAGGCAGAGGCATGACAATTGCTGAATTTGAGGCCAGCCAGGGCTACAAAGTAAGACCCTGTTTCAAGACAGAAACCAGACACACCCAGACACAGACACAGACACAGACACACACACAGACACACACACACACACACACACACAGAGAGAGAGAGAGAGAGAGAGAGAGAGAGAGAGAGGGAGGGGGGAGAGGGAGGGAGAGGGAGAGGGAGGAGAGGGAAGGAGGGGATGCATAGATAGAGATTCCTGATCTCATGCTACAAAAGTTGAAGGCACAGTGCTTAGTCAGATGAAATTACATCTGGCAATGGTGGCAAATTCTTGTAATCCCAGCATTAGGGAGATGGAAGCAGGAGAATTCAGAGGAGTGGGCAATACAGGGAGACTTAGTTGAAAGAGAGAGGGAGGGAGGAAGGGAGGCACACTCGGATAATCTCAGTACTGGGAGTTGAGGTTTGAAGGATCAGGCATTCAGGATCAACACTGGCTACATAATTAGTTCCAGACTAGCTACATGAGACACCAACCCCCACCCCCAAATGTGACATTAAATTTTTAGTTAGAAAAAAACCTCCTATGACAGCAATGTGTTGAACCC